GAAACTTTAGTACATCTTTTATACGGTTCGTAGACCATATCGGTTTAAATTCCAAGGCCTATTCCTTTCTTCCGGTTTAAATTTTTCGCCTTACAAGCTTCCGATTTTTTTCAAAATCGTAGAAATTGTGGTAAATTTGGAAAGACTCAATTGATCAACAGGAACTTTTAAGATTATAAACTTATAACTTAAAACAAGTAATGAATAACCTTAGTATACCACTTCCTCTTCATATCCCTCTCAAACCTTTTAATCCTTCTGATCTTAAGTACATACCACATTCACACATCCCCAAGTGTAAACTCCAACTGGACAAGACCTAATTTCTTTCGAAACTTTCCACAAAAAGCCATAGTTTTCTTAACAACAACATATAATGCCATCCCACGACCTACTCACTATCCTCTCTTAAGGAAATATTCCGTCATTATTCTCATTCAAACCGCGCAACCACAAACCTCCTACAGATCCATCAGCCTTCTTCCTGCAATGACCTTTTAAAGCGATTCATACCCATCCTAGATACTGATGAAATAATTATCTCTCACCAATTTGGCTTCCGTCCACATCATTCTACGATCCAACAAGGTTTCAGAGTTGACGACACCATCTCCTCTGCTCTAGTCAACAAAGAATATTGCTAGGGTCGTTCCTAGCTGTAGCACAAGTTTTTGTTAGGGTCTGGCGCACAGACATGCTTTATAAATTTAACAGCTTCCTACTCACTCCTTATTATTTTATCCTGAAACCCTATCTAAACTAAAGCTGCTTCAGAGTGAGGTGCGGCAATCAGTTCTCGGAAATCAGCCCGATTCAAGCCGGCCGAAAGGGGAGCTTTCTTGGTCCCATCCTTTATATTATCTATACTGCTGACTTACATGCTCACCCCAAATCATCCTCATCACCTGCGAGGACGATACCGCAATTTTCCCTCGAACTTGAATCCTATCCAAGCTACCTCCAACATGCAAAAGTGGAGGACAAGACTGAATGAAGAAAAATGAACTCAGTGTAAGTTCGCATTGAAAAAACAGTCTTGCCGTCCACTGTATCATCAAAAAAGAGATAACAATTTCCATTCAAGACAAATATTTAGGACTAGACAATACCTAGAGAGCAGACTGACGTGGAATCCACATTCAAAAATTAAGGAACAACAACTTGACAGAAATTTGGACAACTACGAAGACTACTAGGACCGAAATCAGTGTTAACCGCCGACACTAAACTAACCTTATACAAGAAATTCACTAATTTCGTGGTCCGCTTGACCAATTAATATATTACAATTAATTAAGGTTTTTAGTTGAGATAAAAAAGTCAATGGCACGAGCGGGATTCGAACCCACGATCTTCGGCTTGATACGCCGCTGCTCTACCACTTGAGCTATCGTGACCTCGATCCACTCTGACACCAACGTCCGGGTTCGAATCCCGCTCGTGCCATTGTCTTTTTTATCTCAACTAAAAACCTTAATTAATTGTAATATATTAATTGGCCAAGCGGACTACGAAATTAGTGAATTTAGTAAACAAGAAAGTTCAAAAAATTTAGTGTGGTGCTTGGGTAGAGAGAATTCTTCCTTGTGTCTTAGGAAGGTGCTGAAGATATTACAGAAAAAGAATTTTAGATTTGTCTGGGTGGTTGGAGGCAGTATTTATTGCTTAATTTTCCATTAATTAACCCTTTTTTAATCTCAAATAAACCATTTTTAACGCCAAATCAACCATTTTTACTCATTTTTATAGATATTTTTAACTACATGATAACAATTTTTATTGCGATCATATGTACCAGGATGACTCAAATGTTGGCAGAATGGATATATAGCTTTTTGGCGTCAAATTAACCCTTTTTTTATTTTCAAATAAACTAGTTTTAACATCAAATTAACTTTTTATAATTTCATATTAGCCCTTTTTTAAATTGAAATTAACCATTTTAACTCATTTTTATAAATATTAAAAAGGGTTCATTTGAAATGTAAAAAAATTAATTTGAAGTTAAAATGAGGAACAGTTGTCCACATCCCAACTCAAAAATCTTTTGTAAAAAGCCCACTTCAATGCCATAGAATCCGATGCCATAATTTACATTAAAAAAAGGCTGCAATTGGAGAAGGCCGAACTCAGAGGATTGGTAGAACTACTGGCATCTGAGAAAACAACATGGGCATATGCAACGAGAGCCCATCTGCAGATTATGTACTGAGGAGGTGGAAACGGCCAACCGTATCGTCTTCGAATGCGAAGCAACAGCTCAATAGAGATTTAACCTAACATAAGAAAAAACTTAGGGAATCAAATTGTAGCAGCGACAGTCAATGACCTGATACTTCTAAGGAGAAGGATTGAGTCTATTGCACTGAACTAAGGAACTAGGAAGGTACAATAAGCCAAAAGGCTGCAGTGCCTAGAGAGCACAAACCCCGCTTTCTAGTATCCTTTTTTTGCCATACCATACCATACATAAAAAAAGCCATAATAAGATGTTATGTTGTACTATTAGTTTCAATTTAGTCCAAAACAGTCAACAGTTAGTTTACGCATGTTGCAAAAAAAAAAAAAAAAACGCTGGCAAAATGGAACGAAATGAAGTTCAGTGCCCAAACCATCGTCTCCTCCTCAATGTCCAGGGCTAACGAAATATCAAGCAAAGATATTCAATGCTATAAGTTCTTATCCTGCTAAAAATTACACAACATTTAGAATGATTCAAGTAAATTTTGTTATAGCTACCTGCTAGCCCTATCAAATATTTCAGCAGTTCGACATAAAAGAGCTCCACGGTTGGTGTCATCAGTAGTTAAGAAACAAGATACTGTAAAAGGATCGTTAATAGAGCAAAAACAATAGTGGGCCTAGTATGCCCCCTTGAGGCACTTTTATTTTTTTTACGGGAACCGTCTATGCAGAACCATTTCCAACCCTATCAAACATTTCAACAGTTCGACATAAAACAGCTCCTCGATTGGTGTCATCAGTAGTTAAGAAGCAAGGTAATATAAGAGAGGATCGTTAATAAAGTAAAAACAATAGTGGGCCTAGTATGCCCCCTTGAGTCACTTTTATATTCTTTACGGAAACCGTCTATGCGGAACTATTGCCAGCTCTATCAAATATTTCAACAGTTCGACATAAAATAGCTCCACGATTGGTGTCATTAGAAGTTAAGAAGCAATGTTCTGTAAGACAGGATCGTTAATAGAGCAAAAACAATAGTGGGCCCCGTATGCCCCCTTGAGTCACTTTTATATTCTTTACGGGAACCGTCTATGCGGAACCATTTCCAACCCTATCAAACATTTCAACAGTTCGACATAAAACAGCTCCACGATTGGTGTCATTAGTAGTTAAGAAGCAAGGTTCTATAAGAGAGGATCTTTAATAGAGCAAAAACAATAGTGGGCCTAGTATGCCCCCTTGAGGCAAATTTATATTCGTTACGGGAACTTTCTATGCGGAGTCATTGCCAACCTTAAAATCCACAAGTAGACTTCCTTGTAGATATAATGCCAAAACCATGGACGAGAAATAATTTTTTTTTAAATATGTATATTAATTTGCAAATGAAAGGAATTTATTCCGGTATATAATAGTCCGTAAATATTAAAACACAGAATGATTTCTAAAAATTGTTTATCGCCCTGGATCCTTCGATGCCGTTTCGTAAGATGATTACGCGATCTTTCAACGTCCTCGTATGATTTATGTCCTAACTTTATCTGTCCTTGAATTTGGGCAATTAATATTGTCAGGTCGTTTAGGTTGCCGACCGTACGGGTGGCTAATTTGTCAAGTTTGATGCCGTTTTAATAAGCGTTTTTAGATAAATTAATTTGGTTTCTCTCTGTCAAAGGACGACATGACCTATTTTGTTTCACGCCGTCCTCTATTGCACACTTTATTTACAACAGTTTAAATTTTGACTAGATTAATTCCAGCCGTCTTGTGCGCAAGGTTTGATAAAAATATGAAATCTCACCTCCAAGACGGAGACGGAGTTGGAAACAGTGATAGAGAAAATGCGCGAAGAAATTTGGTGATGATGAAGGGCGATAGTAGTAACTGGACGCACGTTAAACTGGCAGAGGGTCGACTTTATTGGCTGCTACTAGGTCCACGAAAAGCTCGACATTCAGTCCAAGTCGTCTGTCGAGTTTGCGATGAATTCGAACATTATGAGTGTGTTAGATTCTTGCTCCATTAGAGGTCAGATCTTAGAGGGGTGCTGCATGTTCATTGGCTGCTAGGTTGACAGACAGCTGGAAACCAAGTCGGCTGTCAAGTGAGTTGTTGCTGGACTCTGTTGCGTGATGCTTGGATTGCCATTTCGTATATTATTGAATTTGAGAACAAGTCTAATGTAATGCAATACCTTTCAATTAATTGAGGTTTTTAGTTGAGATAAAAAAGTCAGTGTCACGAGCGGGATTCGAACCCACGACCTTCGGCTAGTCACGTTAGCTCAAGTGGTAGAGGAGCGGCGTATCTAGCCGAAGGTCGTGGGTTCGAATCCCGCTCGTGACACTGACTTTTTTATCTCAACTAAAAACCTTAATTAATTGAAAGGTATTAATTGGTCAAGCGGACCACGAAAACTGGTGAATGTAATGCAATATTTTTGCACTATCTAACATTTTTCTGTACCAATTTTCAGTTTTTTTTGCCATTTTCATAAATATCTAATGAGCTTGTGAATTCCTCCTAATATGTGAATTTTTCCTCCTATTATTTTTGGGTGTAGATTTATTAGACATCATTGGACAAAAAATGTTCTGTAAAAGTCAGGTTGAAAAAGCAGTTTAGTTACTTTTAAATTTGTGATAACTTGTCTTCAAAATTTACGTTTCCCAGGTCTTGAGTACTGCACGACCTATTCCAAACTCACGTCAACGAATAAGTAAATTTTATTCCCGAAAAAAAATTTTGTTTCTGTCATGATATAATAACATAACAGCGCAAGATGAAAAAATCTATAAAATGTTTCTTATTTTCAGGGATGAAAAGCAAATTGACTTGGCCGAACAGCTGGAGAGCGTGGCTTACGTCCTCTGCGGAGACGAAAGGGTGTCACTGGACAAATTCTGCCAAATCTTTCAAGCCAAAGGGGTAATTAAAAGCTATATTTTGACCTAAAAGTGTAAGATTGATGTTAAAACTATAAAAGCCGAAACCTCCTCACTAGACGAAATACACCGCTTTAAACTTGTCCCCAGGGCATCGGTGGCCGCAACGGTTTAGGCGTTGACAGGGCGCTCATCACTGTAAGGTAAAGGTCCCGGGTTCGAATCCAGCGGCCGTGCATTCAACCCGACATACTTACAAATGGGCTTTTTTTTTTCAAAAACACCGGCACCCTGAGGGTTGATATGACCTCTGCTGTTGCGAAACCGAAAAAAAACCGAGCGGATGGCTAACTCAGTGCTATGTACGTCTTACTCGAAGATCCATTATAATTCTTTCGATTGCATTTTTATGCTATTCAAATTCAATAATGAGCCATTGGATACGTGCTACCTCGCTATGTTTACATATAATTGGGGTAACAAGCCGACAAAAAAATGTTATAGTTAAATATACAAAAAATATAACTTTAAAACCTTAGTTTCTTTTTGAATTGTTTAATTCAAGATTTTATGATCTCGTGTTAAAACGCGTAACAAAAGTTATCAGCCTGGGGCCGTCAGTTATGCTAAATACATTGACTTAACTGTACGGCGGGTTTAGTATTTTTTCAATAGGCGGCGTTTTGAAATTTGTCATGCCATGAAAAGGTGTCGGCGCCTTACGACCTCGCACACCGCAACCAAAGGAATTCTTAAGCTTTTTATCAGATCCCAAAACGGCGTATTCTGAAGGATCTCTCCTATTGACAAAGGACGTGTTCCTTCCTGGCAATAGCTGCACTGGCTTATTTCTACTGGTCCGAGTCTGACCATATGCCCCTGGAGTCTGTAGGGTCAGTCGTTAGTCCTACTCACTTTGTTCTGTTTTCCTTGTCTCTTCAGAAGACTTTTTTTCCAAAACTGGAATATATCCTTTCATTAACCTCCTAAACTAGAATATCAAGGTCATCCGTAACCCTATTTTTTTCATTTACATGCCTGAGAGAGGGCTAGAGAGAATTCTCATATGCAGCCCAATCCGTCTCTCTAGAATTGCCATATTTTCTATGTATTAGGGGGAAATTAACTAATTTTTATTTTCCAACCAACCCTTTTTAAGCGAACTATTGGGTTGTCCGGAAAATAATGCAGGATTTTAAGTTTTCATTAAAAAAAATCTATATAAAATATTCTGTTTACGTTTACAGGATTACTCATTTGTATGAATGTCAACACTTATTAATCCTCTTCCAAATGANAAAAAAGTCAATGGCACGAGCGGGATTCGAACCCACGATCTTCGGCTTGATACGCCGCTGCTCTACCACTTGAGCTATCGTGACCTCGATCCACTCTGACACCAACTTCCCATCTCAATCGCGCCTTTTGAATTTTCCCTCCTTTTTGCCATTTTTCAAATGTCGTGTAATCCATTTGATTCTCGGCGACAAATGGAAAAAATGACTTTTTTATCTCAACTGAAAACTTTAATTAATTTTAAGATATTAATTGGTCATGCAGACCACGAAACTAGTGAAGTTATTATAATCGTTGAAAAGTGAGTTTTTTTTCTCTTTCGTGCGATGTCAATAACTTTTGTAAGATTTCCGGTGGATAGGTGGAATAGTTTCAAAGTTATCACCATTTATTTGTGATTTTAGAAAAAAGATCATAAGCATTTTTTAATCAAAAATTTTGAGAAAAAAATAAGTTTCTCTTTATTTTTCCGAAAATGTTATTTAGGGATTTTTCGCAGCGCAAAACTTCTTTTTGCCTGAAAAAATATTTTCGCTTGTTTGCTACGTCGCTCGGTCCATTTCCATCAAAGCACACTAGCGTTTTTCCGTCTAAGTAACACTTTTTAACTTCAAAGTATCCTTTCTAACTACAAATGAATAATTTTTAAGTTCGAACGCGCTCATTTTAATGACAAATTAATAAAATTTAAGTTTAAATTAAACATTTTAATTTCCAATTAAACGTTAAATTTTCAATAAGATGTGACCAATTCTAAACTTGTAAACGTTCGTGAAATAAGCATGTTAGTAGCCAGAACTTTGAAAAATATTTTTTTTTCAAAGTTGAAAAACTTACTGTGGTGATTCTGAACTACTATTTCCAAATTTGTGTTTAGAGGTTTTTCTTAACTACAAATGAACTTCAAATTATCCTTTCTTAACTACAAATGAATAATTTTTAAGTTCGAACGAGCTCATTTTAATGTCAAATTAACAAACTTTAAGTTTAAATTAACCATTTTAATTTCCCATTAATCCTTATTAACTTCAAATTCGCCTTTTTAATTTCAAATTAACTCTTTTTAACTTGAAATTAACCTATCTTAAATTCCAAATAACCCATTTTAACTTTCAATTAACATTTTTAATTTCGAATTAGACGTCTTTAATGTCAAATTAACTGGAATTTTCCCTCCTTTTTGCCATTTTTCAACTGTCTTGTCTTGTAAGTTTATAAGTGCAAATGTAACAACTATAAATGATATAGACAACTTTGAACAGAAATATTTCAATTTTTAAACATTGAAAATATATTTTGTATTATTACAATATGTACATTACAATAATCCATTCGTCTTTTAATACTTTCTTTTCCAAAGATTGTTGATAAACTGTTTCGACTTATCGACCTGGATTCTGATGGGGTGATCACTGCCGCTCAAATAATGGAGTTTTTAGCAAATGTGACAAATTCAAGGTAATCTAAAAACGTTTTGATGAAGTACATTATTTCAACGTTTTAAATCACACCCGAACGTTTCAGGAGAAGAACCGGTTTCGACAAAAGCAATTTGGAATGGCTGGAACAATTATTTCGTCAAACGGTTGGAAACGAAAAAGAAATTAGAAGAGACGACTTCAAAAAAATACTCATTACAAAAAATGTGAGCCCAAAATATTTTAAATGAGAAGTACAGATCACACGGTAATATACTCTTCAATTTCAGCCATTTTTTACAGAAAGAGTTTTCCAAATTTTCGACAAAGACAATTCAGGATCGATATCGATGCAAGAGTTTCTTGACGCTATGCATCAATTTGCTGGACAGTCACCTGATGATAAAATGAAATTTCTTTTTAAAGTATACGATTTAGACGGTTAGTACCAACAAATATTTGTATATCGATAATTTTAAATAATTTGTTTTTTATATAATGGTTTTAGGAGATGGACTAATTCAGCATCGCGAACTTCAACATGTCATGAGAGCGTGCATGGAAGAAAATGGGATGAGATTCAGCGAAGAACAGATTGATGATCTCACCATGGCTTTATTCGAAGATGCCGATGCAGAGTCACGTGGAGCTATAACATATGAATCATTAAAAAATCAACTTGAAAAACATGGAGGTTTACTTCAAAATCTTACAATAAGGTTGATATTTTTGTTTATTTACTTTTGTAAATAAATATGTTGAGATGGTTTTAATTTATTTTATAGCATTGATCGTTGGCTGGTGCCACCGAAACCAAAAAGCCCACCTACATCGGCTTTAGCAAGAATCAGTGCTTTACGACCATACCAGTTAACCTTACCTTACATTAGAAACAATTATGTCTACTTAATATTTGTTACCGTTTTCTTCCTTGTCAACCTTGCACTTTTCGTATCTCGATCGATTCAATACCGCAACTACAATGTGTATGTGATATTTGCCAGAGCATGTGGTAAGACAAGAAACGTTTGAATTTGAATTTTTATTTATTTATTTTTTATGCTTATTTTTCAGGGCAATGCTTGAATTTTAACTGCATGTTTGTGCTTGTGTTGATGTTAAGACACAGCATAACATTTTTAAGAACAAGAGGATTTAGCAACTTTTTACCTTTAGATCAACATATTTATTTCCACAAGTTAACTGGCGTCTGCATTTTTTTATACAGCGTTGTACACACTATAATGCACTTGTTAAACTTCAGTACGCATTTTTTTTTAAATTGATTGATTAAAAATAACTTTTTTTTTTGCTTTGTTCAAAGGTGTGATAGTGTTGAACGATCCAGTTATTAATGCTAAAAATTATACATTAACTGAGTGGTTGCTTACAAATAAACCAGGACTTTACGGCTTGATACCAGGTGTGGCCAATCCGACAGGAGTCGCTTTGACTTTTATTCTTGGAATAATGTTCATTTGTTCGCAAACATTCGTCCGAAGAGGTGGAAGTTTTGAGGTAGAAGAGAATAATTACAGCATTCAGAATTCTAACAGATTATCAAAACTTTTTTTTAAGCACAACCAATTCTGTAATTTAACTTTTTATTTGTTATAGATATTTTATTGGACCCATTTACTATATGTACCTTTTTGGATATTGGTTTTATTGCATGGTCCGAATTTTTGGAAATGGTTTATAATCCCAGGAGTGATATACGGCGTTGAAAGAGTACTACGTTTTATTTGGATGCGATCTGAAAGAGGAAAAACGTATATAAGCTCTGGTTTACTTCTGCCGTCTCGAGTCACTCATTTAGTTATAAAACGACCGCCACATTTTGACTTTCACCCTGGCGATTATGTGTTTGTTAATATACCAGCTATAGCAATGTATGAATGGCATCCGTTTACAATAAGTTCAGCACCTGAACAAGAAGGTAGCATTTTTATGAAATTTTTAGTATGGTTTTCCCACAACTAAGTTCAATCGTTGGTAACACAATTAAGTTTTTACATAAATAAATTTAGCCTGCCTATGTAGGTTTAATGCTTTGCTTACCATTTTTTTAGTGATATCTAAAGACGTATATTTACCAATGATTGTTTTAAAAATAATTTAGGTTACATGTGGCTGCATATCCGCGGTGTTGGAGAATGGACGAATCGATTGCACAATTATTTTGAGAAGGAACAGGAAAAACTGCATAACATAAGGGAAGATTTGCCTTCTGTACATCCTGCACCGAAAACACAAAACGGGGCACCGACGACTGACAATCGGGCGATTAAAAGGATACAAGCGTAAGTTTCTACAAAACATGTCTGCCAAGTGGGTTGGCAGTATAGCTTCCTCACATTTTGTGCATGTGCATGCACAATGTTCAATAAAATTCATATGGGATCATCTAGAAAGCAATGTGCATAATTCCTGAAAATTGCATAAGAATCTGGAAAAAAAATTCAATCGTTGATACTGAAATTCCTAGAGAACTATCCGGAAACCAACTTGCATAATCCTTGCAAATTTAATCAAAATCTGTGTAATGGTTTCGTAGATACAGCTGTGCATGGGATTTTGCATTTGTGCATGCACAGGCGATACCATTATCCGATTGGATATATTCGTAGGGCACCATCTAGAAACCAACCCGCACAATTTCTGAAAATTTCATAAAAGTTGGTCTCATGGTTTCGGAGTTTTGCCGGTTACGAGAAATTTACCATAAACAGACACAGAACCAAATTTGTTCAGAAAGATCGTAAACACAAAATACCAGTTGAAATTTTGATTTTGGTAAACAACAATTTTTTTTACTACCCGTATAACCTTCAGTAGTTTGGAAGCAAAAATCTATAGGAAAGATTACATACTTATGCACATTCTTCCCTAATCCTTTTTATATTTTAGCAATATAATACACCTACTTTTTTTTTAAATATTAATGAAATTTTAATTTAGATCGTTGAAAAAGAAATTTAGTGGAAAGGATGCCAACGGAACACCAGTTACAAAAATAGTCGCATTCAAAGGCGACCAAGGTAGTTTCACCAATGAAGGATTTACCAGCAATGAAAATATCCATAGTTCAACAGAAAGTGATATTTGCATTCAGAACACTAGTGCAAGTGTTGGTAAGTAAAAAAAACTTACACAATAATTAAATCTTAAGTTTCACAGATTCCCTGTTTTATTTTTCCGTTTCCAAATTTTAGATGCAGTTAATCTTAATCCAGCAGTTAAAAAGACACCCGGGAGAATGCACCTGATGAAGAAAACTCCACTTTCAAAATCATTATCAATGCCCGATATTGACAACCGTACGAAAAAAAGGCAGAGATTTTTGGTGTAAGTAAAGCACACTTTTTTTAATACACTGTGAAAAAATCAAGTTTACAATTAATGCCATACAATTAATTACATGTCCAATTTCTTCTAAACTTCTTCGCCTCTGAAACTAAGTAAAATTTGTTCCTAATTCTTTTACTTAATTGTCCAATTTTTTTTATAGACATCTATTTTTTTGTAAATTTTGATTATAACTGTTTGTAAATAGGAAAAATATTCCTGAAGTGCTTCATTTTCTTGAAGATCCAATTTTTAAGTTGATATCTCTGAGGATACATCAATAAGTTCAGCATCAAAAAGAATCCAAAGTGATAAAATCATATTTACCCTTATTTGACTAAAAAGGGGTGATTTTAATAATAAATTTAGTTTAAGATCATTGTTACTTCCTGAAAATACAAGTCACAATTGATACACAGTCAAGTAAAAATAAATATATATCTTGGACACATATGACAAAATAATTTTCAATTTCTTTTTCCAAAACTTTTCACAAATTTCTTCACTTCTGAGACAAAAAGAAATTAGTTCCTCAGCCTCCAAGTCTTCAGCGTTGGAGTCTTTGGAGTTCTCAGACTTGCAATATTTTTTTAGGAAAAAAAGAATTTCTCTGCTCAATTTTTATAGTTTGTATACTTCGTAAATATACAAGTAATAATTTTTATCCACACTTAAAGTAATTTTAAATAAGAAAGAAACCAACATTTTGTGTAAAAATCTAGAAATCAATCTGGATGTCAAAGGTCCACAGGAAAATACTTTGGACAAATATGACAAAATAATTTTCAATTTCCTTTTCCAACACTTTTTCAAAATTCTTTGCTTCTTAGACAAGGAAAAATTAATTCTTCAGCCTCCAAGTCTTCTATGTTTGTCTTTGCAGTTCTCAGACTGGCAATATTTTTTTTAGGAATTTATCTGTCCAACTTTTATAGTTTGTACATCCTAAAGATGTAAGCAATAATGTTTATTCACAATTAGTAAAAAGTATTTTAAAAAAATAAAGAAACAGACATTTGGTATGAAAACCGAAAAATCAAGTTACTTGCAGGGAACGTCTTGGATGTTGAGGATTTCAGCTAATTATCATCCACAAGGAAAATATTTTGGGTGAATACATCAAAATTATTTTCAATTTAATTTTGTAACACTTTTCTCCCCTCTGGGATAAGGTAAAATTAGTTCCTCAGCCTCCAAGTCTTCAGCGTTCTTTGGAGTTCTCATACTTGAAATATTTTTTTACAAGAGAGAATTTCTCTCCTCCCCCCCCCAAAAAAAAAGACATTACATAAATTTTTCTAGACAATAAATTTCTGGATTTCTGTAAATAACATCACAATAAACAAAAGTAAAAAACAAAAATCTAGTAAACGTTTTAAACATTAAAAAGCTCAAGTGGTAGAGCAGCGGCGTATCTAGCCGAAGATCGTGGGTTCGAATCCCGCTCGTGCCATTGACTTTTTTATCTCAACTAAAAACCTTAATTAATTGTAATTTTTAAACATTGTTTTAGATTACGAGAATACATGAGGTCCGAATCTGAAAAAAGTTTTGACGAGTGTCAAATGAGACGAGCTCGGCTGCAATCCCTCGGACTTGCCTATCTCAGCCCGCAGAATAAATCTCTTGCACAGAGCTTTAGATATATGCGTAACAAACCAACCATAATCGCTTTTAAAACACCTAGTCTTGAAAGTTGTGAAGCCAAACTGTCGGCGCTTTCTATTCTCAGTCGCCAGGTAATGTTTCGATAGAATTGGTTTTTTTTCATTGTATTTAAATCTTTTTAAAAATGCCTTCTATTTTTGTACTTTCTTATTGTTTAATTTTTCTGTTAAGTAAAAAAATTAATCTGTTAATCTTTATTCTTTTTATACGTAGGACACTGCTTATTTGACATCTGACAGATCTAATGAAGAAAGCAAAGGTGATTTGCCAGGCGTGAGTCAACGCTTCGAAAAAAATAACACACATACATCAATAAACTACCCAGTTGGAAAACCATTGGAGGTATTATTTCTATCTGTCATTTATAGATTTGATGAACATTTTCTAAAATATGTTTTGTAAAATATTTTTTAAAGATATATCTTGATGGGCCTTATGGTGCACCGTCAAGTCACATATTCCGGGCTCAACATGCAGTGCTTATTGCAACCGGTATCGGTGTAACGCCATTTGCTTCGATACTGCAGTCAATTATGCACAGATACTGGAAGGCCAGACATTGCTGTCCAAATTGTAAGCATACTTGGGTCAGTGAAATTCCTCCAACTATCATGCATTTACGAAAGGTGAGCCGACTGATTATTATTTTTTTTTTATTGATTATTGTTTCTTTTTTTTAAAGGGTTTATTCCGTATCATTGATTCATCTATTTTATGTTTATAACAAGAAAAATAAAATCTTTCATTAAAAATGGTATTTGTTGCGAACAGAATTAATCAACAAATAAAACTTTTAAAAATGTCTTGCCTTAGTAGACTTTAATGTTTAAAGATGTCAGATACTTCTGACTTCGACTATTCACTTTTCCATTCGACCAACATCTAGATTAAAAATCTATGGCAGGGTGGATTACATGTTCAAAGGGAGAAATTGGCAACTTCTAGTCATATGTAAATACTCGGAATAGGTGAAGATGGCATAGATTGCCAGGAAGAAGAAAAATAAGAAAAATTGGCACACGTCCTATGTTCGTGCAAAGACCTACGTCGGTTCAGATTCCTACTCCTGGGAGAGGAAAAGCCAAGATCTGAAGGACACTCAGCCAGAAACAAATTTTTGGGATCTGGCAAAATGCCTTAAACTTAAACAGCTACTGAACCTTGGTTGTATTGGGACTAGAATGATAGTAGGACTGCTGACGGGCAAATTTTGGAGGCATGTGTAAATACTCAGAGCGGGCGAGAACAAACAGTGCTTTTGCTGGCATTGTTTACCAATTGTTTTACCTTGACCTCCTAACTCATCAGTCACCAATGACATGTCTTTGCTATTTACAAAAACATAGCTCTGCTACATCAAAAGTACATTAACACCAGGTCCAATAAGACTATGGATGAGTAATGCAGATATCCTGTATGGTATGGTAGAAAAGAATAATAGGAAGCGGGGTTTGCACTCCCCAGGTACCTTCCTAGTTCCTTAGTTCAGCCAATAGACTCAATCCTTCTTCTTAGAAGTATCAGGTCATTGACTGACGCTGCTGCCAGATATCCTGTAGACCCCAAGAGTCTAAGGAGTAAAATACCTCTTGCTCTACCTCGACCAGGCTGACCTGGAACCTCCACATATACAAGAAATTAAACTAAGCATAAGACTTGATCCTCCGTGCTAGACAAAAGCCTGAAACCAGAGGTCGGTACCAAAACTTCAAACTACACTGGGAACTTGGCATGGAAAGCATCAATCAGGTGACCAGGGCTAAATTCAGGAAGTTCAAAACATTCAGGGTACCTGGACTAACAGTAACGGTCTATATAAACAGTTAAAAGCTATCAGTTCTTTAACCAATGCTCGTGTATCTATCTTGTACTAATTATTATTTGAAAAAGATAAAATGCTACTACAATTAATTAAGGTTTTTAGTTGAGATAAAAAAGTCAATGGCACGAGCGGGATTCGAACCCAAGATCTTCGGTTTGATACGCCGCTGCTCTACCACTTGAGCTATCGTGACCTCGATCCACTCGGACACCAACTTCCCATCTCAACCCCACCTTTTGAATTTTCCCTCCTTTTTGCCATTTTTCATATGGCATGGAAAAATGGCAAAAAGGAGGGAAAATTCAAAAGGTGGGGTTGAGATGGGAAGTTAGTGTCCGAGTGGATCAAGGTCACGATAGCTCAAGTGGTAGAGCAGCGGCGTATCAAGCCGAAGATCGTGGGTTCGAATCCTGCTCGTGCCATTGACTTTTTTATCTCAACTAAAAACCTTAATTAATTATAATATATTAATTGGTCAAACGGACCACGAAATTAGTGAATTTAAGAGAATAAAATGCTACATTAATACATTTTTCAGGTTGACTTTTTCTGGATCAACAGGGATCAAAGATCATTTGAATGGTTTGTCAACTTGCTCTCACAACTAGAAATCGAACAGGCTGAGCTTGGAGGTGCGATGGAGCGCTTTTTGGAAATGCACATGTACATAACATCCGCTCTTCAGAAAACGGACATGAAAGCCGTCGGCCTCCAGCTGGCTCTTGATTTACTCCATGAAAAGGTACATTAAGATTGAATTAATTTCAAGAGGAATCGTTTCAACGTCGATTTTTCTTTCTCAGGAAAAACGCGATTTGATCACCGGTCTTAAAACGAGAACGAACGCCGGAAGGCCGAATTGGGACAAAGTGTTCAAACAATTGCTCGACCAGAAAAAAGGGAAAGTTACAGTGTTTTACTGCGGCCCTCCTCAACTCGCTAGAATCTTGAGGTTAAAATGCGACCAATTTGGATTCAGCTTCAGAAAAGAAGTTTTTTGAAAAACCATCGACGCATTTGACAAATTTAAGTTATGTTAAAGCACAATGAGTTACTAAATATTGTGAACTAGTATAAATAATTTAAGTTATAAATTACAGTTTAACGCCTTTGTATTTCATGTGTAAATGGATGAACGAGATAATATATTTAGAGAGAATGTGGATGAGAAAGTGAGTTTATATATTTAAATAGATTATTATAATATAAACAAATTTATAATGCACACTATTTTTTGACTTAGCTTTTAAAATTTTAAATCGTGCTCTTTTGATCAAGAGATCCATATTTTTGTTTGTCATTTTAGTTGCAATTTTAAAATATATTTCAAGATTATATTTTCTATTATACATTGTATATTTTTTTAATCTACACTTTATTACCTTATACATGTATATTGAATTATGCTTATATACTGCTTATTATTATATGAAATTTGTTTTTAAACAACATATTTGCTTCTTTTTTTTTATTGCGATGCAATTTAAAGATGAGTATATAATCATATAAATTATAAAAGAAAATATGTGTATTTATATGAGCTGCACTTTTAAATGAAATATGTCAACACGTATATTCAAAAATAGATTAAGCAAGACACAAATTTTCTTTTATTTCTCAGTGAAAATGTAGAAAAATTTATTTCTAGATGATCACATAAAGCTAGGATAGCGAAGGTTGAATATTTCCAAATAATAAAGTGATAAAATAAATTTATGATCAGTTTTTAACTTTAAAGAACTAATAAGTCTTTTTAAGACAAGCGCTAATTAAGTTAACATTTATCCATACAAGATACTTTTTTAAAGTAGAGAATAAAAACTCAAAAAATTGTTTTGCTACTACTAAAGAACATAAACTAATGTGTACAACTGGTAAAACGGATTATGAAAAAAAAAAATAAACTATGTAGATGTAACGGATGGGTATGTTAAGACAAACATGAAGGTCAAAAATTAACGTTGAAAAATTTCTCAAACAAGAATATTTTAAAAAAGGGATTCTAGACATTTAATAAATAAGAAAAAAAAATTCCCCAACACAAAAATGTATACAAAAGTATACTGCTATCCTAGATTATAAATTATACTTTTACAAACGCTAAAAACTTCATTTATGTGATAAAATGTTAAAATTCTGGGTTTTAATCCTGGGAGCACGTGAAATGCAAACTTTTGCTCTCTTTTTCAATGAAAATCCCCCCCCCCAAAGATAAATTTTTATCCTGTAGCTAAATTAGAGTTTGAAAATAATCTATAGTGTAAAACAGCTTGAAAGACCTGATGATAAAAGGTGGTTAAGATTTAATTTAAGAGTGTTGATGGAGGTGTTATAAACTTTATTACTAATAAAAATAAATAATAAAGTGTATGTTCCCAGTGGGAGAGAGAAGTTAATTCATTAATGTTTGGTCATTTTGAGCTATGAAAAACACTGTCTAAAACTCGTTAACCCTTGATGAGCTGTCACATTAAAATAAATTTAATGTAATTTAAAATATTTTCGTTTTGGAGATAGATATTTTTAATAAATTTTGTGTTCCTAGTATAGTTGTAAATAATTAATGTATCGGAAGAATTAGATTGTAAATAATAGGATAAATTTCAAGCGGTGTCGGGTATTCCATTTATTTGGTTATTCTTGTACATAAATTAATAAAAGGTATTTGTATTTATTTTTATAAGATTTTTTTGTTTTTCCTAGAATTTTAATTGTTCCCAGTACTATATGCACCAAAAGGGGCAATGACGAGGCCCAGAACACCACATCAGCCAGGCCAATTTGTTGTGCCACAAAGTCAAAATTTGCACAATTGTTTTTATACTTTATCATCAGTTAATTAAGGTTTTTATCTAAACTAAAAACCTCAATTAATTGTAATATTGGTCAAGCGGACCACGAAATTAGTGAATTTAATGATTTAAAATGAAGTATACTTCACTAAAGCTCTCCGTGACCATTTCATTTGTCATCGAGAATCCAATCCGATTACATGACATTTGAACAATGGCAAAAAGGAGGGAAAACTCAAAAAAGGTGGGGTTGAGATGGGAAGTTGATGTCCGGGTGGATCGAGGTCACGATAGCTCAAGTGGTTAGAGCAGCGGCGTATCAAGCCGAAGATCGTGGGTTCGAATCCTGCCCGTGCTATTGACTTTTTTATCTCAACTAAAAACCTTAATTAATTGTAATATATTAATTGGTCAAGCGGACCACGAAATTAGTGAATTTATCATCAGTTTTGCCTTTTGAAAATGTTTGCGTGTCTTGTGTCTTTAGAGGCGTTCTGTGTAGAATTTCACCGACGTGTGATCGCTTGAATTGTAGTTCAGTTTTTCTGTCTTACCTTTTTTTTAAGTACACATAACCTACCCTTTCTATCACCTTTGTGATCCTCCAGGACGTTGTTACTCCAGGCGCAGGATCTCTTGAGTCCTGGTATCCCAAATCATATACAGAAGGTCTCCTGTGCTTTTCATTCCCTTCATATCTGCATTCAGGTGTATAATGTCTCAATGTTTAAAAATGTGTTTGAAATAATTTCATTTTTATTTCGTTTCATAATTTATTCCACAAATACTTTTTGTACATAATATTACATACTAATTTTAAAGTATTTTTCCAAATGTTGTATGTTTGATAAATTAGAAATAAAATAACATTATACATATAGAGACTATTCACATAGCTTAAAGCAATGATGTTAGTAAAGTAGTCATAAAAATAATTATTACATTATTTTGAAACATGTGTTTTGTAATGTTATGAACAAATTCTATTAATAATAATATTAATTGTTTAATCTGTAAACGTAATATTCTTGAGAAAAAAAATTGTTAGTAAAGAACAAAAAATATAATATAAAAAAAAGTTTTTAGAAAATGTTCAACTTTAGAGTCGTACATTTATTTTAAAAATGATTTGATACATTGAAAAAAATTAGAGTCATCGACAAAACCAATTTTCGGATGAATTCCCAAGCATACCTGAACATCTTAAAGCTCTCTAGGATCTACGTAGGCTTTAGGAACAGGTAGTCCATTTAAAATAAGCTCCGTTGGACAATTGACTCGTATTTTAGAAAATTTCACTTCCTATAATATGAGTAAATATGAGTTTTATACAGTGGAATTTCTAAACATTTTGTACACTACCTCTATTTATTTATACTTAATATTTTGATTTGAAAAAATGCTCATAATTTTGGGAATTTTTGTTTTAATTAAACCTAAATTTAGCAAAACACACCTTATAAAATATTTCATTTTGGGACTTTATTTTAATTATATCTTACAATTAATTAAGGTTTTTAGTTGAGATAAAAAAAGTCAATGGCACGAGCGGGATTCAAGCCCACGACCTTCGGCTAGATACACCGCTGCTCTACCACTTGAGCTATCGTGACCTCGATCCACTCGGACATCAACTTCCCATCTCAACCGCACCTTTTGAATTTTCCCTCCTGTTTGCCATTTTTCAATTTTTTTATCTCAACTAAAAACCTTAATTAATTGTAATATATTAATTGGTCAAGCGGACCATGAAATTAGTGAATTTAATGATTAAAAATGAAGTATACTTCACTAAAGCGCTCCATGGCTATTTCATTTGTCGTCGAGAATCCAACCCGATTACATGACATTTGAAAAATGGCAAAAAGGAGGGAAAACTCAAAAGGGGCGGATGAGATGGGAAGTTGGTATCCGAGTGGATCGAGGTCACGATAGCTCAAGTGGTAAAGCAGCGGCGTATCAAGCCGAAGATCGTGGGTTCGAATCTCGCTCGTGCCATTGACTTTTTTATCTCAACTAAAAGCCTTAATTAATTGTAATATATTAATTGGTCAAACAGACCACGAAATTAGTGAATTTAATTATATCATTATCAAGGAAACTTATATTATTAGTCATGTTTGCCAATGTGGGAAAAAATTTCAAGAAATAAACAAATTAAAACTTACATGATGTGCTTGTCCAAACACAAAGTTGTAATGAGTAAGAATGGGATCTTTAATGCCTATATTGTCGCCTATGACAAATTTTTTCTTTCTCTGCATATAAAATACTGTAACGACGAAAGATGTCCCTTTGACATCAATCATTCCAAATGTGCTGAAAAATTAGAAAACAAAAATAAATTATTTGCGATAATTTTTACACTTTTTTCATTATAAAATACATATTTTTGAATTTTGATTAATTTTTAACAAATGTAATATTATGACTTTTGTTAAAAATAATAGTTTGATGTTTTACTAACTAAGGAAATATATAGTCGGATGATAACGTCCAAATAACTTTTCCATAAATTATACGTCCTGGGTTATCATTGCTTTTTAGATCTTCCAGTGTACTAGGGGTACCTGTAAAACTGGATAATAAGGTCAAACCCTTATCTCGTATAACCTGCAAATGTATTAATAATTATTAAAATATATTTATAATAACAAATAGTTTTTTTCAATGGAAGGCAAAGGAAGTGGGATCATTGATTTTAATGAAACTCTTTACGGGGATGCTAGGTCAATTCTTGTCATTAGCGTTATCGTAAAAGAGAGTTTGGGAGTAAGAAAGGGAAGATGAAGGAAGGAATTAATGATCTGGTTGAGCAGAAAGAAGCTATTAAGTCATAAGAAAGCACCCATTCCAATCCCATCAAACCCACAAAATCTTGTTTGTAGTCAGGCTTTTGTAGTTATCTGTGGGTTGATTTGTTTACCCCAGGATTTTCTTTTCTGAACATTTTTGTAAATCCACTTTTCAACCCCAGGTATCAATCATTTCAAAAATAGTGGTGTTGCAATTTTAGGAGGAAGCTTGATTTTATTCAATGATTGAGGGAAACCACAAGGCTTTGAGTCTTCCAAATCTAAATTTCCAATTCTGAACCAAACAAGCCAATATAAGGTACAGGGCTTTCTGCATATATCAACATTTTTTTTACCAAGGATAAGAAAATAATAAGCATGATGGTGTCAAATGAGATGAGATATATGAAAAGTTACAAAAACCAATACACTTCAAATGAAGTAAGTCAAAAAATAATTACTTTTTAAAAAAATAAAACTCAGATTTATTTTAAACACCCTTTCTGTATACAAATTAAAAAATACATTATGCTTTTAACAAACTCAGTAAGCCTATTAGTAATGGTAACTTGCCAAATAACATGTAACAACTCTTAAAAAATGTTAGATAAAAGTTTAATACAATTAAAATACAGTTTAAATTTTCTAATTACCTTCTTCATTTGAGAAATTTTTTTAGTTGACAAATACCCATAATATAAACTGTAATCAGTCAAAACTTGTAAATACTTCTTAAGATGCTTTCTCCTTAATTTTGGAACCATCCAACCCGGGTTCAATTGTTTTGCCTCATTGAGGGCACAGATACCGTCATAAAAATGTTCCAAATAAGTGAGCGCCTTGAAAAAAATTGTACGCAGTAATAAAGTTTAAAGGAAAAGCATACAATTAAAATACACATGCGTGCATTGTTGACTATACTGACTACTTACAATATATTTATTAAAATACAGTTCTGGTGTAACGAATGGGATCAGCGATCTTTCCTACAGGCATTATTAAAAAGAATAATATAACACAATTTTAAGACATCATAAAATAGTAGAAACATACAGTCCTTAGATAACAGGCAAGGGCATATTTTGGATAGTTTGGACTCGGATTACCAGAAAAGTGTGATGTGAGATAAGTATTTCCTAGTATCATCCAAGATTTGCCATCATCGAATTTAGACAGTACAGCATGTTGAGCATATATGATCGATCTGGTCAATGCCCGCCTCCTATCTGTCGGCGTCAAGCCGGCCATAGATTCGACACATTTCAGTTCTACTAATGCTAACATCCTGAGGGAAACTGGATTGAAAAACTGAAAATTTAAAATTAATATAATAATCTGGTCGTGTTTTTAAAAGAGGGGAAAATCTAGTACCGCTGCTGCTCCATTTTCGAAACAGCTCCTTGCCATCGTAAGATTGTTTCTTTTGTAATAGTAAAAATCGCCCAACATATTCCACGGTTCGTGCCTTGTTGGGTCTAATTTTGCTGCTCTTTCAATGCCATCGATCATTTTAGAGTGCAAATTAGGCATGTACATGTAAATTCTGCCTAATAAAATCCAATAATTCACTTTTTGACGAGCATTATTAATATCTGAAAAAATTATTAACAAGAAATTAAAAACAAAATGCCTAAACATAATTTTATTTTGTAAAATGTGAATATATTGTAAAATTATTGCTTTTTTCCGTCAAATTAACCATTTTTGTCATAAAATAATACTTTTTAAATCCAATGATCACTTTTTGATTTTAAATTAACCCTTTTTCATTTCCAATTAACTCTTTTTTTTAAGCATTAAAAAAACGTAGATGATGGTATGAAATATAAGCATGGGAAGTAAAATTCCTTCATAATTGCGATTTTTTTTTTAATATAGCATTGTTGGGCTCTTAGAAGACCATATGAAAATTAATTAAATTAAAAATATATAAAATTAAACATAAAAATAATGTATTCTTCTTTTAATTGAGATTTAAAAAATATATAAAATTGTTTCTTATCTGAAATACCATTTGAAAATTAATTACAAGTAAAATTAAGAGTTATGTAAAGTTAGACATAAAAACAAATGGTTCCTCTATTAATCTGGGATTTTTAAAATTATAAAATAATTGGTCTATAAAATAATTGTTTGTTTAAAAAATCAAATCAATATTATATACATCGAACATAAACATGAATTTTATTTTACAAGCTTTTTATTTTATACTGACGTCTGTTTTTTTAATGTTTTAAAGAAGGATCAATTTGACATCAAAAACGGTTACATTGACGTTCAAAAGAGTTCATTTGAAGTTTAAAAAAGGTTATTTTGGAGTTAAAAAGAGTTAAGTTGGAATTAAAAAAAGGTTATTTGAAATTAGGATTCATTTGTAATTAAAAAGGGTTTATTTGAAATCAAAAAATTAATGTGACATTAAAACGATTTCAATTGTAGTTCAAAAAAGGTTAATTTGAAATCAAAAAGGATAATTTGAAGTTAAAAATGGTTAATTTGAAGTTAAAAAGGGTTCGGGTGAAGTTAAAAAGGGTTCATTTGTAATTAAAAAAGGTTATATGAAATTAGGGTTCATTTGTAATTAAGAAGGGTTCATTTGAAATCAAAAAGGTTAATGTGAAGTTAAATAGGGTTCATTTGTAGTTCAAAAAAGGTTAATTTGAAGTTAAAAAGAGTTAAGTTGGAATTAAAAAAAAGGTTATTTGAAATTAGGATTCATTTAATTAAAAAGGGTTTATTTGAAATCAAAAAATTAATGTGAAGTTAAAACGGTTTCATTTGTAGTTCAAAAAGGGTTAATTTGAAATCAACAAGGATAATTTGAAGTTAAAAATGGTTAATTTGAAGTTAAAAAGGGTTCGGGTGAAGTTAAAAAGGATTCATTTGCAATTAAAAGAGGTCATTTGAAATTAGGGTTCATTTGTAATTAAGAAGGGTTCATTTGAAATAAAAAAATTAATGTGAAGTTAAATAGGGTTCATTTGTAGTTCAAATAAGGTTAATTTGAATATAAAACGGGTTCTTTTATAATTAAAAAGGTTAATTTGAAGGTAAAATGGGTTAACTGATGGTAAAAAGCTGTATATCTTATCTGCCCAGAAACATTTGAATCAATCTGATATTTATGATGGCAATAAAATTAGTTATCAGGTTTAAAAAAAATAAAAAATAAAGAAACTATTTTACACACTTCCAATTGTTCCTAGAAACTTATCTAGATCTTGGACAAGTCTATAAAGAGTATTTATAAGTTCTTCAGGTGTCAGCTTAATTTGATCTGCCTCCGGATCATTTGAGGAATGAGCCTGGTGAATAACATCACGTTGTACCTGAAAAAAGATTGTCATATGACTCCGTTAGATATATGTTTATATACATGTTTGCTGTTTTGAATACCCTGTTTTCTCTTTGTAAATGTTCAACTTCCAAATAACACTGAATATTTAACAAAACAAGAGGGTGAAAAAAACCGATATACCTGTAGCACATCACCATAATACAACAAAAGTTCTTATTTAGATCTTATTGTTAGCTATTGAAAATGGTCTCATCCAGCTAATAAAAGGAAGTTAAAACGAACTTCAACGTATGTGATTGCTAGATGATGTACAGCCAAAAGCAAAGAGTACAGAATCATAAAGCAGCAGGAAACTACACCACAAAGGATTTCCTCGCTGCAGAAGCTATACTTCAGATGACTATGAGGGTAATATAATAAGACACGAGTCTCAGGGTATATAAAAAAATAAACAGTGTCTGCATAGATTTACAATCATGATGAAAGATCTAGATGCCAAGGTGAGAGCCCAGTAGGTCAAACTTGGGATATAAAAAATGCGACAATTATGTGAAGCAAAATTTGAAATTTAAGTTTAACATGTGGAAAATAAACTCCTTGGATTACTAGAAGTACTAAGGATATGAAAGATTGTTTTAATAAAACATAAATGTTCAACAAAATACAAATTTAAACATTAAAAAATAATTAAAAAGACTCACTATTAGAGAGAAAGAATTATGGGCAACTCTACAACAGGGTCGTGACATTCACTTTGTTTCAGGACTTTATCGCATATATGATATTGACTAATTAATATGACATATTTTAAATTTTTTAAATGTTATTATGCATTGACAATAAAGACATACCATTAAAAGTTTGTAAATGGCCTCAACTGGATTTGAATTCTCCATCAATTGTGCCATTGCATCTGCGACTTCGACAAGACTTTCATTGAAAGAGAAAGTCCTAGCAACATGTCCTGAATCGTGCTTGTGGCTTCCCTTAGAAGTCGATGCACTACGTTCTTGACTGACTATCACAGGAAACGATAAAGGGTGATCAGTGCCCAAGGAAGGCCTCGCAATGCCTGTCGCAGGAGAGACCGAAGGCATTACAGGGCTCGTACAACGGTGTTCACCTCGTTCATTTCTTGTATTCTTTTTTGTCTTGACGCCATGCCTTTTAGGCGTCTTTGTCATTTTACTAGGTTTGGCTGTACTTGTTTCAGCGTTCGTGCATTCTTCGATGTCGAGTTTTTCCATTTCAGCAGAAGGTATGGCAATATTGGGCATGGTAGGTCCTGGTATAAATAACTCGTCTTCTAGCACAACCATCAACCTCTTGTACGTTTCTCTCGCACGGATTTTATCTTCTTGTTTAAATTCAATTTTCCTCGCCGTTATCGTGCCCAGTTCGCTTCTTTCCCAATCGAGCATGATGGAGTCGTATTCGGGAAATTCTCTTCTGACTTTGTTTTCGCTTTGTTTCCTGCTTCCTGACTGATCGGATGTTCCCTTCATTTCGTTGTTATTTTGCATTTCACCGTCTTTCATTTCTAATCTGTAATTCCTGACTATTTGAATCCAATACTCTCCTTCGTTTATGTTCGATTTCTTCATTTTTCTGCCATTTTTAAATTTATTGGTTAAAAACAACATCAACCTCTAATGAATTTGAGAGACAATTTGTGCATGCATTACTTACTAGCGATACGTTAACAACGGCTTTTGACTTTTTTTTTAATTGCTAAATGTTAAAAAATAAAATAAAAAGTGCTAGTTGAAAAGCGTTAAAAAAGCTGGGACCCGGGTAAAACTGCAATGGCCGCTGCTCAACTTACAAAGTACATCTCCACGTGACTTTCAGTTCGAAAATCTGACCGACTAAATACGCAATGTAATCCTCTTTGTTGTGACGAGTTGTTTATAAAAATAAAGAGATTTCAATGAACTACTTTGACCCTTCACACAATTTAAAAATATTTTCTGTATTAGTTTACTGCAGAAATTCTGGAAAATTTGTCTTTATGATAAGACGTCTCTGACTTACTTTATAAACTAAATAATTATTTAGATGGCAAAAAAAAAAAATGAAAGTATTGTGATTTGTGTAGCAATTCAATTAATTTCTCTTCAAACCTTAACTTTGATTTAAAAAGTTATTTATCTTCTAGAAAACTTCCCCTCGCGCTTTATTTTGAACATTGTATCAGTCGAAATATTTATTATATTATTTATTATTAAAACTCTGTCACAGCAGCCACCTATTAGACTTAATAAGTCGCACAACGTATTTTCCAGTCAAGTGGAAAAATTTTCTAAAAATACTCAAATCTAACAAATTCAAAAGTAGCCCATCCTCATTCACCTATCTTTCATATTTCTTATTAAAAAAATTATGTGCACAATTTATGGGCTTTAAAGTGGCTTTTGTCAGCATTGACCGAGACACATTCTATAAAGTAGAAGGTTGGGGGCGTCGGTGGCCGAAACGGTTTAGGCGTTGACACGGCGCTCATCACTGTAAGGTAATGGTCCCGGGTTCGAATCCAGCGGCCCTGCACTTACAAATGGGCTTTTTTTCAAAAACACCGGCACCCCGATGGTTGATATAACCTCTCCTGTTGCGAACCCTAGTAAAAAATAAATAAATAAAATATAAATTAGAAGAAGAAAACATAAGTAACAGTTTACAATATATTTACCATAAAATTGAAGCTTGGCAAAAAGCTGTCAGCCTGAGTTTGAAATTCTTTTGATTATGTCATAATTTAATTTATTTTACAACGGTTACATTAAAGATTATTTTAATTAACATAAAAAATACATAAGTCTAAATAATAATCTAAACTAAAAGTCATTTTTTTTCCACCCAGTAATACAAAGTTAATCTTAGAATATGAAATAATATTTAAAAAAAAACTAATATACTAATTTACCAATGAGCATCAAAATTAGTAACTAAACTCGCTTATCCATTGTCCATGATTGAACCGATACAAAACACAGGTTTGTGTCTAGCCATAGGTGCATTTAGATCTAGTCCATCTGTTAGTGTGCATGCTGAAGCTGGAGAATTGCCCCTCAAACATCGAAGATTAAGACTTGACTTGAACTTTGCAGTTAAAAATCTCCCATGCCCTTCACATCCTCTAGTGTCCCTTTTTCCAAGTGAAAACTCTATTCCGTTTGAAGATCCCCTACGCTGTAAAAGAAAGCATTTTCCATCTAGAGTGGCTGCTCATTTACAATTAATAAATGCTACGATCCCCCCTATAAAATTGGAATTTCACCTAAACCTCCCTGGCTGCTTCCAAAGTCTAATCTATGCTTAGACCTCACTAAATTTTCTAAGAAGAATACTCCCACGTACATGTACAGTCAAGAATTTTATAAAATAATAGATATCTTTTCAAATCCCACACTGTTTTACAGATGGCTCAAAAAATGATGTAGGGACAGGTGCTGCCTTTTTCACTTATAATAATAAGGCACAATATATGTGTACCCTACCACCTATATGTAGCAGCTATACTGCTGAGATTATAGCAATAGCAAAATGCTTAACTACATTAGCCCCATCCAGGGAAACGATTGTCATATGTACTGACTCTTCGTCAGCGCTATTGGCACTTAAAAACAACTTTTCTGTACATCCGTTGATACAAGACATCCAAGACATCCTATTTACCATTGAATCTCTGCAAAATCAGGGAAATAGAGTAGTTTTCATGTGGATTCCTGGACACTGCGGAATATTTGGCAATGAGAAGGTGGACCATTTGGCAAAACAGGCCATCCTTAATGGAGTTAAAATTACAAAAACACCAAAATCCGATGTGGCAACTTGGCATAAAAGAAAGTCTTGGCAGTTATGGCAAACGGAGTGGGAAACGACTTCTAATGTCAAACTTAGGGAGATAAAAAATAGTGTAAAACCTTGGGCCTGATCTCATAGAGGTTCCAGGCATGAAGAAGTTGTCCTTGCTAGGCTCAGAATTGGTCATTGTAGGCGTACTCATTCTTATCTCATGGCAAAAAAAGAGACTACGCTTTGTGATGTTTGCGCAGAAAGAATAACAGTGAAACACATTTTGACAAATTGCAAAAAATATGTAGCAGAAAGACATCGGTTGGAAATTCCAACCAATCTCAAAGACTCGCTTGGTGATGACTTCGACCAAATAAACAAACTAGTAACTTTCCTTAAAAAAACTAAACTAATTTCGGAAATATGAAGATAAAATAATATAATAATTTAATAAAAAATCATTCAAGTTCAGTATGCAATAATCTGTAATCCACTCAATGTTGGGTGGTGTCTTGGGTTGCGGTTTGGGTGCCCACCTGGTGGAGGTTGTAGGGGGGTGTCCGAGGCATGTGATGCTGCCGGGGCCCTGGTTCCCGCTATTGGGGGATTCCTGAGCTAGCTGTGGCCCACTCACCACCCAGCTTGAAAGTTTTTTAAGGCGGAAAATGACCCAAAGCGGTTGATCGCCTTTTATAATTTAAGGAAAAAAAAAGCTTCTCAAGTTGTACTTGTATTCCCAGGCATTTCTCGCAAAAGCTATTTTGTCAAATCTCTGACAATTGGTTGTCCAGTGAGAGAGCTACTTTTCACATAGAGCTGGTGAAATTTGGCTAGCACAGGGCATTAACAAAGGAAATTATGAAGATCCTGGCATTCAAATTGCACATACATTGAGAAAGTAACACCCTTCTCAGCTTGAACAACCACCTCAATTGACAAAGATTCAATCCAGAGCCACTGCAGCCAAAAAAACTCAATCTGACTTCAAAATGGTTCTATACAGAAGAAAGTGTTCAGGATAGCCATCCTCACAGACTCCTCCCAATGAACTATTCCTTTCTTCTGAAAAATTAAGGAAAGCTGAGTCTTCCACTGAGGCATATGGTCTATGGAAAGATCAAACTCACGAAAGTAATTGCTAGGCGAGATACCCCAGGGTCAAACCAGAGAGCCCTACACCTTACCACCTCTCTGGCTTTAGCATTTACCAATCGATGGCCTGGAAGTGACAAGACACTCAAACTAAATATAAAATACATGCGTAATGTATATATGAAAATTGGTTCAACAAATGCTTTTCCAAGGCATTTTCTACTGATAAAATCAAATTTATTATAGGATAAATATTTTATGAAATATGGGGGAATTTATGGGAAAAATTTGAGGAAGTTTGGAGTCACATAAAATGTGAAATATTTAGATTACAATTGAGAATCAGCCTTTGGAGAATAGGGGATTTTTTCTCCCGTTTGAGATGTAGGATCTTCTTTAATGGGACACTCATATACAAACACATTCAAAAGAAACAAGTCATGAATAAAATAATTAATTAATTAATTAAAAAAATAATAAAATAAAAACATTTGTCAAACCAACCCAGGCCAGGAAAGGCTGAACAAAATGATCGATAACAAGCAAATAATTTAATATTAACACATAATAAAGAAAAATCAGGTTTTAATAACTCAAATGGTAATACTTTTATTTAGACTGACTTATACTCAAACCAGGACCTGGAAAATGCAAGTAATATAGAAAGTCATAAAAACCAAGAAATAAAAACAACAAATTTAATTTATTTAAATTACATAATAAAACATTTACAAGTGTGGAGCAATTGTTCAATTTCGTAGGTTTATATCCCTTGTAACATACCGAATATCAGTGCAGACTAAAACCAACAAAAAGTCTCTAGCACATAATATGATTTGCTAAAAATATCTCACTTCTAGAAATGTATCACCAAAAAATATACATTGTTTCGTTTTATTTTTATATTAACTTTTTTCTCTTTATTCACTTTCATTCACTCACTTTTGAAAAAAGTATTAATATTTGAGTTCATGTTAAAACTGGAGTACATTTCCGCACCATCAGCACCGGCATTGTATTTCAAACTGGAACAGCAAATAACAAAAAAAAAATTTAAGCTCAGTTTTCATCCTAATATAGTAAATTAAGACTGCCTTAGTGAATTAAGAAGAAAAACTGAATATTTTGAATAATATATGTATATAAATTAAATAGATTGTAAAAGTATAAATCAAAATATATTATGATGGAAAAAAAAAGAGATTTAAATGAACAGCCAGAGTATCTTTTTTTAATGCCAACATTGATTGTGTTTTATAAATACTTACTCCTGGAATGCCTATTGATTTTTCGACAGGCAGCTTCATGAGTCTCAAGTCGGTTAGGAAAAAATTTCCTATTGCATATAGGACAAGGTTTCAAAAGTGTAATGTACATATGATATTTATCCTCCTCGGTAACTAGCTCCTGCGTCAAACCTCCTGCAAAGTTAATCGTTAACTTGTAAAACTCAAAGGGAAAAAATCTGAGGGTTTTTATTTATAAGCGCATACCGCTTGAAAAGCTGTGGTCGTCCTCTAAGCTGGCAGGTATGCCGTCCCATTCGTTCATGCATCCTTCTAAATGAGCTCTAAATTTTTCTTCGTCCGTACCGAAAGTTTTACCGCACCTCTTACAAAAGTGTTGTCCCTCTTCGTAAGCAGAGAGAATTGGCACATCCACCTGAGTCTGAAACAACACAATGGGTTTATTATAGTTTAAAAAAATCAAATACTTTTTTTTAGTTTTAGGGCCGGCAAACTACATTGCTCATCACCAGCCTTCTCTTCCTTAGCTTTACATCTCTTTTCTTATCATTCTCATGTTTTAAACCTAATAATTTATTTTCCAGCCAAGTTATGATGTTTTATGGTAAAACTCTGTCTTTTCTTTATCTGTTCTTCAGGACCTCGTCAATTGTGGATAACACAAACAACAAACACAAATGTACAGAAATGCTGAAACACGATAAAAGCATGATAGTCTGGTTAGCATTCAGACTACCCCAGAGTACTCTACATTCCTCGGGTAATTGGAGATATGTCTCCCCATTCAAGCTAATAAATTACATTCCTACACCAAACTTTATTCACTAGCCCATAGTATTCAATATCTGTGCCTACTGCCTGCCACAACCTTAATCTTAATGTGGTTTTTTTTTTCCTTTGCAGGCTTAGTTCTTTGCAATCTGTTATCATATGCTCTGCCATGGTAAGCTCTCCACATAGTGGGCACCTAGGTCTCAATCCTATACAAGGTCCCGAGTGTGATCTTAGTATGACCTATGCGCAACCTGATATGTGTGACCTTGGATTTATGGATTATTTATGGATTATTTCAGGCAAGGCAACATAACTGAATAAATAGTATAAAATCCATTTTTTCCTGCTTGCTAGAGGTAATTAAGAGGGTAGCTAATGATTTGCGGACAAAAAGCTGGTTTTTTTTCTTTGATTAACTCTACTTCTTGGTTGGATTTTCATATTGATGCGCATTTATTTTTTATGAGAGTCTGTACTTTTTGTTTTTCATCAAATTTCTAAAATTTTACAGTATTTAATTATTTTTTCAAGGCTAATTGGTTAATATAATCACCAAAAAGATGCCAGTTTAGGTACCTTTTTTTTCAAAAACTATTTAGGCTTTTACCACCGATCTTCACATTTTCAAACAGTAAAAGGATGGCGAGTTGAAGTTCATCATGGCAAGATACAATAGAACACTTGATTTTCAGCATTCAAAACATTTTGCCTCTCAAACTCGGATTCTTGTGGGGCCAGTTTCATTTTGTGCAGAATAGGTTACAGTTTATTCTAAAAAAGAAATATAGATTTTTTTGCAGAGAACAGTCGTTGTTACAGTTTGTGAGATGCGTGTTATTTTCCCAATTAAAATGGCTTTCTTGCAAACCCTCTTTGAAGGGTTGTCCCATGGGGGCGTCGGTACCTGTTTATAGGTTATGCAAAAAGGAAGTAACCAAAAGTAAGCAGCCAGACAGAAAAGGTACCCAGGAAAAATACAGCAATGACCTACTACTTCTTAAAAGAAGGATCTATTGGATCGAACTGAATTAAGGAACGACAATAAGTACATGCCAGAAGGCTGCAGTGTTTGGGCAATGCCCAGCCGGGGGCGTCAGTGGCCGCAACGATTTAGGCGTTGAGACAAGGTCCCGGGTTCGAATCCTGCGAGATTTTTTTTAACAATGGATACCAGGAACTGGAAGAGTTCCCCCTGAGATCTGCAGCTGTTCAGCACATTGTACTTTATCCCTGGCATCACATTTGGGGGCTCGCAACACGGTTGTGAATCTGCCGGTGTTCTTCCATCGAAGAAACTCATGTCTGAAGTGAGTTGGGACCAAATTCAGGCTCACTGAGATCTGATCCCGTCCCTTCCATTGATGAGTGTCGTGTCAATTTCTTTCAATTGCGGCCACCGGTCCCCTTAGGCGTCAGAAAAAAGTCCAGAGGCGACGGTGGGGATCGAACCCACGACCGCCGAGAGTCTGACGCCTTAACCACTCGGCTACCTCGGCCCCCTGCGCAATTCTTATAAATTATTTTTTCAAAAACCCCGGCACCCTGAGAGTTCATATAACCTCATAGTCGAAATATGCTCGTAATAAAAAGGATTGCCCGGGCCCAGAAGAAACTGCGTTCAAATTTTTGTTATCGATTGCAAGACCGACGTCGGACAAAACGTGGCGGATAAATGTACAAGCAACAGCCACAATTATGAATATTTAATACAAAAAGAAAGAAAAAAGAAAGATAGGTCAATCAACATGCCAAGGTTGATATGTTTTTAATACGAGACATATCGGCGTCCCACGTCGCATGAAACCGTCGCGTTAGTTCACATTTCACGGCTGTGATACGGGCTAAATTCAAGGACAAAATTCATGTGCATTCTACAATTACATTGAACTGCGACTGAATGATATTCGATGATTCTGGAGATTTATATTCCATATGAGAAGGTGAAAGAAATGTTTATTCGAAGCGTGAAACGTTTGTTTAAACTTAAACCATGGTCTAATTTTGATTATTTTCAGCATATATTTCCTTGTAATTCGGTCGTTACCGATCATCCTAGTTTGCCTATCCTCGCTGTGTTGTTCTGTCAGACGCGTTTCCGCGTCTCGCCATCTTCAGTGAATATTTTTTGCATTTTTATCACAAGGTTTATTTATATTATGTACAAATAAAAGCTCTGTGTATAAATATTGTTAATTCTTTCTCTAGAATTTATGTTGGCTAGGGATTGTAATGGGAAACTGTTGCTTATGACTTTCCTTCCTCGATTTAAGGTTATTTTTACAGGGGAATTTGCATTTTCACGATAAGCTTATCGACCCGAGCCTCGCAGAACCTCGCCGATCCTAATATTCAGTTTTAACAGCGTTAAACAAACAAATAACTTGAGCCATTCGTCGGAATATCTGTGACCTTTAGACGTTTCGATTGATCGCTATTTCACCGGTGGCCAAGTGACTCCTGAGTCGCTGTTTTATCGATTTGCCTCATTAATATGTCACCTGAGCACATTTCTTGACCAAAAGGTTTCTTTTTATTCATCGACACACAACAGGGAAATGGCGACAATTCTTGATCGATCTGCCTTTGTTTATTAATTCGATACCCTCTTGAACCTGCTTACTCTAACCTGTACAAACTAGAAATAGTTTGCATCAAGGAAGGAAACGTTTTATTTAAAAAAGTAATACCGTCAAAATTGATCCTTTTACGAACTTTTCCAAAACTGTATCGCTTATATAACTACTTGCAAATAAAACGAAGTGATCTTTTTTTTCCGGGCTCACTGGAGTTAGTCTTCCTTTCTTCCACTGCGATCTAAAAGATCTATTGTCGAATTTACCCTTTCATATCAATACCCCAGAAAATGCACTACCTCCTATTTTCTTATTCGTATCGCCTTTATCAGATATACCGTTTCTGGGCTTTGCAGTCACAAAGGGCATGCTCCGATGACTTTTCGTGACAGATGATCATCAGGTGGGAATTAGGCCAGTACAAAGTCTTATTGCCGAGGTAGAGGTAAATTTTGGTTGCCCTGGCTGGGATTGAATTCATCCAGTCAGTTACGTCTTTACGGTAGGTGTGCAGAACTGTGGTTCAAGACCAAAGGGTGTGAGAACTGCTCTTTTTTTCTAGCATCTTAACTTGTTCGTTTTTTGCATTCGTGTCCTCTTTTATGGCACCCACATCAGAGTTACCTAGTTTTCCCAGGAATGTAGTAGGAATGTAGTTAGGCATTCCCAGACCACCTTTTTGTTGAAAGATGAGGTCTAATGTTTTCAGTGTTGTTTTGCTGTCAAAGAATATATCTGTGCTTTTAAATTTTAAGAATTTTTCGTGCACATAGTTACATGGATGTCAGCTTAGGATGGGACCTAGAGGATTCGCTAGATCACTATTTTGGCCTTAACAGACTTGCTGCTTTCCCAATTTAAGACCGGAAGCGACTTTATATGCAAAAGAAAGCGTGTGATCTTTTGTGTTACAATGGGCAAAGGCCTATTTTCTTCCTCAATTTTCTGCCTTCTGAGGAAGAGGTAGGTAATTTATATTTTCCTGGTTGAGATCTTGAGGACATTCTGCAGGAGTGTTTTGCACCTGGGTAATTCATTCAGTGTATGGTCATTTCTTTCTAACCATTGAATTTTGCGAATATTTGAGTTTCTGGTCCTAAGGATATTAGATCACCGCGTTTGCTAGTTTTTCAGCTTTTTCGTTGCCTTCAGTCACCTCGTCTCTTGGCGTCCATGTCAGAATCACCTGGTTGCGTTTTCCCAGTAGTTCCAGATATGGCAGGTTTTTCCAGACCATCTTGGAGTTGAAGGTAGAGCCTAAAATCTTCAAAGCATCTAATGCTGACTGTTGAAACATTATAAGATGGTTTAAAGAGTGTATGCGGGATCATGTGCCAAATATCATATAACAATCCCTAAATTAGTTTCAGTATATCTTTTGTTGTTCTTTTTATTTGAAAGGGTCTGCCAAACCAGTTTATAGGATGTTATGGCGGCTTTCTGTTAGGCCAGGTTGATTTCATTTTATCTTAAGAGCCTGTTTGTACGTACTTTCGTACGTCATTCTCTGAAATGCATGTATCAGCGATGACAATCCAACCATCATTATTATTTTTTAATTATCTGTTCTATCGAATACAGAAGAGTAGAAAAGTTATCAAATCAGTAATTATTGATTTATCAACAGAGGAGATTCAGTACTTTGAGGGTTTAGAAACTGGATGGACTTTCCGTCACATAGATCGTGTTTTGTTTTAAAAACGAAGAAAATATTTACAATTACCTGTTTTTATGTACAAAATATTGACATCGAACAGAGCCGAATGCCGTTTGGTAAATACGAAAAATTGTTTACCTGAGTAAAGACATACAAACGGTATCAGGACCGAATAAATTGGCCAAAAGCTGACCGTAAATAAAGAAACATTAAATCAAATCTTGGGTTTGGTCTTATTCTTTAGTGGAAATTTTCCCAGTTTAAGAAATATGACGAATATCGAAAGGGACTTATTTGGGGGAAGTTGTAATTTATTCATACTCGCCAGCGATGTCCGTGTTAAATAATTTAATGAATACCAAGAGAAATCGATAAATTTTGTTACCGTTTGGATTCATCGAATGCCACAGCGTACGA